ATTAGAACATAATGATTCTTTATATCAAAGCCAAGAGTTTTGAGCATCTATGATTGCAAATGAATTAAAAGCAAATGAGCATTGAAAATGCTTAATATCTAAAATGCATAGTAAATAATGCCCAACTCAGTAAAGGTTCACTTGCCAATGAAACTGTAGCAGCTTCACATGATGAGGTTGTGACCCTGTGCTCCAAGTGGAGTCTTCATAAATAAACAGTAACAACAAAATAACAAAAAATTAACTAACAATATAAATTGTCTAGGAATATCAACTTCTTTTAAAAGTTGGTTGTCACAGTTAAAAACAGGGTTGTCCATTCAGAAAATTTGAAATACAGTTGAAATTGCTAATGTGTTATTTTATAATTATTTATTTTTCTAAGTAATTTCTCCAGGAATGTATAAAGGCTGTTCATGATCTATAAAATATAGTAGGATTTTAGTCTTGGCAAGATAGCATTTTTACAAGTGATATTTTGTTAAAGAACAGCCATTTTGTACAGAGAGGAAATGCTCCTTTTCTTACATTAGATGAATCTGTGACTGATTTCAAGAAAGAGATTAAGCAAAGAAAAAATCACCACTAACAACACAATGCTCTATGTCACAGCAACAAATACTAAATAGGTATTAAGTGACACAAAACTTGAAATGAAACATCTAGCAATTAATTATTTACTATGGCAGTAACAATTAAGTAACAATTGTTGCAAAAGCAGTAGAAACAGCTTGACCATACAGAACAAAAGGTTTTAGACAGAACCACAGGTTATTTCTATCCAGACTACAGAAGCAGACTCAAGTGGGGTCCAGTAATATTGCTGCCACATATGGTCTGTTGCCCTTGCTGTATATTTAGAGATCCTTAATACAATCCAAAGAAGAATCTGCAATGTCATTGGTCATGTCCTGGAATCTCATTTTCAGTCACTTTCCCACTGACGTAATATAGCTTCACTGTGCTTTCTCTATAAATATTTTTGTGGTAATTGTTCTGATGAACTTTCCTCTATGGGATCTAGACTTTATGAATTTAATTACAGTACTAGATTAGTGACAAGGTCTCATCATTTTACAGTTGAAATGGCTAGATGTAACTATAAGTTCTATGCTAACAGTTTCTTTTCTTGCTTTTGACTTGTGGAACTCTCTTCCGGCTTCTTACTTTCCAGTCAACTTTGATCTTCAAAACTTTAAATACAATCTCAACTGTTATCTTCTGTTTTCTTAATTTCTGTTCTTTTATTTTTCTTGTTACGTAATATTGCTTTTCTTTTTCTTATGTTCTTTAACACTCAGTAACCTCTTGCATCTTAGTGGCTTTATTATTTTGCTTGCAGTGACATGATAAAAAAATAATTATTAGATTATTATACATATCAGTGTTTTGGAATTGAAACTACATCATAAGATATATAGCAGCAGATCATATAACTGAAGCATTGGTCAGTAAATATGAAAATGTTTTCCAAACTGGCTTGGCTAATTTCAAACAAAGACATCTGAGATACCTAAATGTTCATTCAGAAATAAAACATAACTGTGGGAAAGACCTAGAGATTATATCCTCCTTAAATGTCTTCACAACATTAATTTTAAAAAAGCTATTAATATCTTAAGTTCTATCTCTCTTTTAGCAGACAATATTAGTATTTAGAATTGGTGAAAAATGTACCTAATGTTTTTGTACTGTATACCGAAAGAATAAATCAGTAATCTGAACACTTCATAGCATGACTGAGGATCAATTCAAATGCCTCATTTTTATTTGTATATTACAATCACAAGATGATTCATAAAAAGACAGGATGTATTGTTGTCAGCAAATGAAACAGCCCAAGATATATCCTATGAAATGGAATAGTCAAAATCAAAGTAATATCTGGTTTTCATGAAAGACAGAAAATATGACATCAAAATCTGAAGATATATTGGAATAGCAAAAATGATTTCCTAAAACTCAGCAAACTATTAATAAAAAGAAAAAAAAATTCATTAGAAATAAAGAAAAGAGGGCAGAACTGTTATGTAATATCAGTCCTCCTATATGACGGTGAATGCGGGATGATTTTCTCACAGATGAAGTAGAAACTTGAAGCAACAGAAAGGTGGTTCTACAGAAGAATGCTGTGAATACCATTCACAGTGAATGATGAGAAATTAATAAGAAAGTTTCAGGGAAAATGGAAACAAAAAGTATAATTATATTTAGAATTAGAAGGAGGTAATTAAAATGGATAGAAAGTTGTGAAGAATTATGATCTTCACCTACATCTGGAAAGGACATATTAGCCAGATGATTTGGATATATGAAAATACTAACTGCAGTATTTCAGTGAATATTAAACTTAAAATGATTTGCTGATAATTCAACAGCTTTGTCTGGTTTCAATTACACCATCTATGCCAATAGAACATACAAGAAGATAGAAATATAAAATGAGGCTACAATAAAGGTTGTTAGAAGCTTGCTCGCACTGTAAAGAATGATATTTTGAACAAGATGTCTTCTGTACAAAATATACAGATGGGCATATTCAGTAGAAAAGGTCATAAAGAAGATTGATGACATCTTCACTAGTGCTCAAGATGAAACAAACAAGAGGTTACAGGTCAATCAAAATCAATGTCTCGACAATCCATAGAAGTGACAGACTCCTTCAGGGTTGATGCTGCTTCTAAGATAAAATATATTTTAATGGGTATTTAATGGTGTACAACTTTACTCCTAGTTGGATATCATGTCTTTTTTCAAGTTATCTTTTCATATGATTGGAATGTTCAAATTAGTTCTTCCAAAGCACAAGGAGAAAATTGCATTTGGTGGCACCTTAAGACTTGTCCAAAAATTGTATCATAAAATTCAAATATAGATGATATAGGTAATTTCACAGATTTGTTTTCTATATTCCATGTCCCTTCAGAACATTGGCAATCATGGCTCTTCACAACATCCTGTCCTTTATTTTTGTCTTTTCACTATCTCTTCTAAACACTATTTATGCAATTTCATTAGGTAGGTTATGCACTGTTTTTCTCTATAACTCTTGCCTCCAATATATCCTGTGAGTATCAAATTCTCCAAGCCCTCTTTCCTTTTTATATGCCCTAAAATTTCAACTATCTTTTTCTAATGCTACATATAAGTATTTTTAATTTCATTTCATTTTCTCTAAATCTTTGTCATTGCTCACATGTTCAGTCTATAGTATTCTCAGCATCTTTTTGCTAAACCACATTTCTGTTGCTTCAAGTCTTTTCTTCATCTATGAGGAGATTGTTCAGCATTCACTGTCACATAGGAGGACTGATATTATATAACCATTCAGTACCCTTTTCTTTGTTTCTAATGAATTTTTTTTCTGTTTCTTAATACTTTACTTAGCTTTTGGAAGGCATTGTTCAATTTCAATTTCAGTGTCACACTTTCCAAATTGTCCAAATATGTTCAGAGAATCTTTTCTTTCTCTGTGAGGAAATTGTCCAGCATTCATAGGAGGACTGATATTACATAACAGTGTAGTAATCTTTTCTTTTTTAAAATTTTTTTCTCTTTCTTAATACTTTGCTTAGCTTTTGGAAGGCATATTTCCCTATCTCAATGTGCCTTTTGGATTTCAATGTCACACTTTCTGTCCTCTGTTAAACCAGATATTTAAATATACTATATGTTACTGTAGTTTTTTTTTGTCTAATGTTGAGAAACATAACTTTATGATGGAATGTATCAAATATCTTCTATCTATAATGACACAAATGGTTATCAGCCAGACCCTGCCATCATTGAAGTGATTCAGTAAATGCTTTTACTATCAAATCACCTTATACTATTCTTTTCACAGCTATGCATGTCATTACAGTATATCTTTTTGTTTGTGGTTCACAGTGAGAAGAGACTTCTCAATTGTCTGCCCCAAAAAGTTTCAAAGCATGAATGATGGAAATTATCATTTTATACTTCCTGGTACATTTGTCCCACAAACAAAATTTGCTGAACTCATAATGAGTCCAGATAAAGAAAGGTCACAAAACATAGAATTCAAAGAAACAGCAATTAATAAATTTTTAATGAGAACTGTTATAGAAGGTTAAAGAAAGAAACAAAGCTGAAATTATGAACAGTTCAATACAATCTTCAGCCTGTGTGTTTGTAGTACTTACATACCTTGTGCCTATCAGAGTAAAAGGAAACATGTTGCCACTCCAAAAATCAAAGGCAAAATAGGAAGAGCCTTTGAAATATCCTGCCACATCTGGCAATAGTACCTAGTGTGCCATTTAAATGATTGGTTGATTCCCTCAAACCTTTAATTCATCAATGTAAATAGTGGTTGCCTCAGATGATTTGGATTATTGTAGTGGAGCAGTGATCTCTCATATATTTTCAGATATTCCAGAAAAAAAAGTGATCACACATGCAATTAGGTCAGTAAAGCTCACCAAAAAAAAAAAAAAATGACTCAAAATAAATACAGGTCTCTGGCAATTATTTTTACTGTACAAACTATGTTTCAAGCTTCTAACTGATCCAAAAATTGTTGTTGGCTATCTTTAGTTCCAAAACGGGTATATCATTTTACATCATCAATAGAGACTGCAACATTAGGCAAGAACTCTTCCGTGTTATAACTTCAGATTCAATTACAGGTTAACCAATAATTTCAGCTAGGCAAACACTCTGTCATTTCTTATGGGTTTACAGTCAACTGAAGCTGAACACATGGTCATTGTTATTATCACTGAACCAGAAATTAAAAAAAAGTATTTTCAGATTATTCATGTACTACTGATTATAGCTATGATGATCAAAGTAGCTAATTTAAGAGACTCAATAAAAGAAATCATACAAGAAATGGTCAACTGATACCAGACAGCTATACGCTATGAGATGCAAGTTGAGAATCCATCTAGGATATGGTTTATCAATGAACCTCAACATCATCAAGTAAAACTCCAGACAAAAATAGCAATACTACTAACACTAGAGGGTTTATGATATTGAAACACTGGTTCTCATAAGATCACTGAATTTAAGCAACATTGATCCTGGTCAGTACTGAGATGGGTGACCACTTGAGGATACCAGGTATTGTAAGCTTGAATATGTGGGTGGTGTAATGGATAATGGTTCAAAATTGGATATCAGATAGCCGAGTTCCAATTCCAGTTAGGTTCATTATATTCATTTATGTGTAAATACCCTTGGGAAAGGCATGAATCCACCTCTTCTCCTCCAGTTTAATTAGTAGAATTTGTATAAGGAAATCATTATTATCTCCCAAAATGGTTTTAGAATCTAAAAATATTTTCTGGCTTTAAATAACCTGCAAAAGGTTCATAAGCTGTAATCAATCAATCAATCTATCAATACTATCATTAGATGTTTTACTAGAAATATTTGTATTGGAGATCACTCCCCTCCGCAAAAAAAAAAATGAAAAACCTGATATGCAGCCTTCAGCTTTACAAAGGCCAGTATTTATGTAGTTTTGATGCTAGATTTATCACCAACAGATAACAGTCCAAACACTGCAGGTGAATCTACATATATGTCTATATAGATAGATACATTATTAAAAAAACAGAGGTGTTTAGGAATATTTGTTTCTCTTAAAAGTTGGGTATGAAAATTAACTAACAAGTTTCCTACATTGCTATTTATACCTATCATTTTTAATATTTTTTTAAGATCTTACAACCTGCCACATGGACAGGTGGTTGGCATCTAAACCATTTCCCCCACGAGCATTTCTGTTGGTGAGAAGGGTGGCATGTCACCCCACAGGATGAAAAACAAGACCTATCAAAGGGTGGATGAGCTTCTTATAGGATTCTGTATATATATATATATATATATATATATATATATATATATAAGAGAGAGAGAGAGAGAGAGAGAGAGAGATAGAGAGAAATCAAATATGGATTGGGATTTCCTATTCATATATATATATATATATATATATATATATATATAAAACTAGGCTGGGGTCTCAAGCCTGGAATACCAACCTTCCTAAAGATGGTGTTTGAATAAAAATACTCAGTATACTTGGACTAATATGAGTGCATTCAAAAAAATCTTGCCTTAAATTATTATGACAAATCTTTTGTCAGGTAGGCCCCATCTTGCTTTGTGTGAGATTAAACCCAGACCTACTTCAACAAAAAAACAAAAACAAAACATGGCTATGTATGTATGCTACAGCAATGTAAACAAAACAGTCCAGGTCAGATGTTGACTAAGTTGTACCAGTTAAGTGACTTTTCTGGAAACATTCAAAACCTGGCTTCTTGATTTGAAAGTAAACATATTTTGTGTCTCCTAAACAAGCCTTTACTTGTTGGGTAAATATTTTATCTTAAGGACTCTAATTTTTATGATTCTGAATTGGAGATTTCTATATCTTAGGTGGAGTTTGTTTATAATATTAAGCATTGTGGATTTTATGAATACAAAAATACTAAAGAAAATTCATAGTTTTCTGAGTTATTTGAAAAGTGTTGACTGTGATTAGGGCTTAAAATAGCAAGTAAAGAACCATGCTGATCCCAAATACAAACAATTCAATTTAACTATACTTGAACAAGGTTAGGTATAAGAACACTTCAAACAATATCAGTTGATCATCTCCTTCTCCATCTTAAATAAAAAAAACCTCTTTATGTAATTTGTCCTGACACTTTCTTAACAAATGTTGCATGTTATACTTGCATAAATAGGTTGTAGTGTAAGTCACTTTCAATGTGTGTACTGTTGTCTTTTCAGCTAACTAGATGCAGGTTATTCTCATTGTTGAATAAGAAAGATCCTTTGACTGATAAGCTTGACATGCTATTTCTCTCTGGCTTAGCCATTAACAAATGAACTCAAAAACCCGCATCACTATCAGTACATCATAACAGCCAGTGCATATCAGATCAGATCACATGACCCAACACTGAATCATTAGGTCATTTACAATGTCCTGCTAGCAACATTAGTTGTTCATCATTTTTTAAAATTCAGACATTCTTTTTTCCAGTTTTTATTCCTAGCAGAATATATTGTTTATTTTTCAGAGAATTTTAATAGAAAAGTGTTTGTTTATAAATCTCTCTATATCTAAATTAAAGTAAATATGCATAATTATATGTTTTAACTGATTTTGCTCTAAAATGACAACTAAGAATATAATGGATCTTTAACATATGGGCTTACATCCCTATTATGTTGAAACATTGGTTCTTGTATGCTCACCAGTTAAGCAACATTGATCCTTGTCAGTACTGAGATAGGCGACCACTTGAGAATACCAGGTACTGTAAGCTTGAGTGTATGGGTGGTGTGATGAATAATGTCTCAAGTTCATTTGATCTTCAATATCTTGTGCAGTTGGGATATTCTTCAACAGTTAAATCATCTGAGTGATAATCTATTTTGTTACTAACTACAGACAAGTCTTACCAAAAACTATCAATATGAACTGACTTGGAAAGAATCAGTGATATTTATGCCAAATGGAAATAGATATGAGTCTAAAAAGAGTCCAAGAAATTTTTATTTCTTCAGAGAAGGGAGAGTGAGTTTGAGAAAAAGACTGTATTAGTTAGATTGTTCAACTTCAGATTTAAATTTTATTGAGATGCAAAAGCAAGATGAATATGATTTTGTATTGTGGCAGAAAAATGGGAGGCAATTTACATGAATATGACTCATGTGAATCTGAGGTATTTACTGTTGAGTATGTCTACTAACACCCTCTTGTCTGAAATATAGAGAGCTATTTACATACATCTTCTTTCTAGTAAGGTAAATATAACATGATAAGCTATAAGAAAAAATTGTCTGAGTTTTACAAAATGACAGATGACCCAGCCAAGTTGGTGTGGTCCTTTTCACCACAAATGAAATGTCCTTTTTCACCACAAATGCTATGTAAACTTGAAAGTCAGCTGAAAAAAAATGTTTGCTATTTTTTCTGAAATTATATGTATATACCCAACTTTACAAGGAAGAAGTAATGATGGAGTAAATGATAGTGGCTTGAATTGAGCAATTGGGGATCCAAGTTCGAATTCCAGTCAAATTCATTACATTTACTTACAGGCTAATACCCCAGTGCTTGTACTTTTCACAGCATTTGCCCAGGATTGGTTGAGCTGGTTCCTTCAAATGAATTTGCCATATCCTGAATGAAAGCTGACCAAGCTTTGTGGTTGAATGCAATTGAGTCAGTAAGGTCTAATGAATCATGGTTACAATGGCGAGTCTTGAACATGTGCAAACCCTAGAATAATTCAACATTCTCTTTAACCATCTTAAGCCATGTTTTTAGCTGTCCACCATGCTGCTTCCACCAACTTTGTTGGGGGACATCCAGAGCAATTGCCTTACAGATTAATTCATCTGTTGTTGAGGAAGAACATGGTCAAACCACCAAAGTCACCTTGAAAGCAGAACTTGTTGAAGAGAGCCAATTTGCCAGTGAGAGCTGATAATGATGTTTAAGATAAAGTGTTACCAGCAGCCACAGAGAATTCAGTGCAGATTGAAGTCATCAAACACCTTGAACTTGTAAAGACCCCCAGCTCTAACTAACCAAGTCTCTCTGCCAGAGAGAAGGATTGTCCTGACCAGAACTTGATATTCAGAATGTTGTGTTAACTTCAATTTCAGATCTATATCACTAAGGAAATGTATGAATTCCTCTCTTATCACTCCAGCTTTGGGTAAAATAGCAGGACAGACTGGGTCCTATAGCTTTGAGTGGCAACCAGTTAGGAGAAGGACAACTCTGAATTCAAAATCAGCTTGGAGTGGGTTGGGCTTCATCAGGCTACCTTGTCAAAGACACATCACTGTGGGTACAGTACATGTGGTGCCTCTATTATGGAAGTTGTGATGATCATGAACTTTTTTTATCAATGAAATGTAAGAATAAAATTGTTTCAGTGTAATTTTCCAGAATTTCATAGAAAATAGACCATCAGTGGAATATTTATAAAACAACTGATTCTTGTCTTTCTAACAATTCTCTTTTACATTGAAATTACAGTATTTAATTCCCCAAAAAACTGATTAAAGTAAAGAGTTGAATTTTCTATTTTCTTAATAAATTCACAGAGTACAAGGGATTACAACTAAATGATGATCTGCTGCCATGGATTTATTTATTTTACTTATTGTTTTATTTATTTTTGCAATGTCAATCACTATCTACTGTCCCCTTGATTATTCTTTTCTCTTCTTGCTGCTAATTCTTCTACACCCAGTAACCCCTGTGTCTTAGTGGCTTTACTGCCTTGTATGGGGTGAAACTGATTAAAACATATATATATTATATATATATATATATATATATATATATATATATATATATATATATTAAAATAGATATATTCTTTTTAATCTATACATACACACTTTACTCATGTATAAACTCTTACATGGGCATATTTATATTTATGCCAATAAATATAGTAATATATACACACGCAAGATATGTAGGTGTATTCAAATAGAGCACATATCAATATACAAGCATACCAATCAAATACATTTATATACAAATGAACAAATTTTTAGGCATATATATGTGCATAAAATAATATATAAGCAATAAAATTAATTATTTCAGTGAATCTTGGTTGGTAAGTTTAAATCTCAGTTACTAATAAGTCCACAGCCATTATGTTCATGCAAGAAAATATACACCATTGAAAAGTGAAGATAGAAACTCAAGATGAATAATTTATCAACCAAATTAACAAAAGAAATAAATAAAGGAAAAGGGATGAAACAAACAAACAAGCAAAAAGTAATCAAAAAAGGAAAATCTTGAAATGGATGTTTTTTATTTATTTATTTATGAAAAAGTACAGAATAATGGGGGAGAATGCAGAAAAAGTAAAGGTGTCCAAGATAAAATGCTATCAATGGTTTTGTAGTTTTGTTGGATTAGTTTCTGAAGACAATTTTTCAGTTGCTCTCAAATTTCTTTTAGCATACATTTGCAAATATGAAAGCAAAATATATGAGTGCACAAATATCTAAATGGATGGCAAAGAAAGTAAGAATTAAGAATAAAGACAGATAAAATGGAATTGTGAAAAA